TCGGTTCTTATTCGATTATTCAATTATTGGTCTAGACCCGACCCAAACTTATCGGTTCTCGATTCGGGTACCCGTTCGGGTATTTAATTTATGAAAAATCACTCGATTTGGTTCGATTCTGTTCAGGACTTTTGGACACCCCTATGTTTACTTGAATAAAACAACAAGAGTTTTGCTACAAAAACAGGGTAGGGGACGTGTAAAAAATGTGGGACACGTGTCATTCACTGATTAGATAATTTAAAAATAAATAAAAAAATGACCCATCCCCCGATCCCCAACCCTGTCTGACTATCATCACTCGAACAACAATCTACCTCCCCGAATCCAATTAACCTTGTTCTCCTTAAGCCAATCAAATTTAACTTACTAAAAATATCCTTTTAACGTAAAATTCAAAACATTGTATAGCACTCAATCCAACTTGATGTACACCGGAAAAAAGAGACTTTTCTCAAGAGCTCAATTATTCTTCAATGAATATAGCTTTCATAAAAGCTCACTTTCAACAAGAAAGTTCGGCGCCTCGATGTCAACTTTTTGTCACCTAGGGTCTCCAAGTCATTGTAGAAGGAAAACGCTGGCATCTTACCTTCTTCCTACTCGTTCTTCCATGCTTAAAACGCTGGATTTAATTGGCTATGGACCTATGGTTCTGAATTTTATGCAATAAGACAAAATGCCACTCATTCTCGTGGAAAATTCATTCAATTTATTAAAATGACATTCATTCAACTCGCATTCATATTGCTATCAAAAAGTATACCCTTTCAAACTCTATTGCATTTGAGAAATTCAATTTAACTTTTTTTTTCCTACCAAACAATACTTAACAAAAAGAACTACTGCATTGCCTTTTGGTCTAAGTCAATAATTAAATATTGCAATAAGCTTTAATCAATTAACTTTCCACAACGTGTTTAGAAGGTAAGATGAAAAGGAAAGAGAAATCCCATGGAACTTTTGAATAACCTCTCTCTTATTATTGTTTTCTTGTAATAATATGTTTCATATTATAGTGTGAAACAAAATAAAGTAAGGATTTATTGCATATCATTTAAGTTTGAGGATAAATTTATCATTTCGACAAAGTTTGCGTAAAAAATCAAATGAATACTGAAAATAAGTATGAAGTATACAAAAAAAAATAAATAAATCTATATTAAAGAGTTAGATATCACGAATTAAAGTCGAGGGCTCAAAGATCAACTTTTTGATTAGAGAATGTACACACATTCCACGAAATTATCAAATAATTCGACTTAAGCCTACAAATGAAGTAAGGTTAATCCCCTGATTGATTTAGCTAAAAAGCAGATTTTTAGAGAATGCGACCAAACATTGGCTAAACGTAAATAACTCAAATTGAGGATTGGTCTATAATCTATTTTTCTAGTTTACACATCAATTTACATTTTGTGCAACATTCAATTTGATTTTTTTGAAAAGTCAAAAGGAGTTTGAGATTCAAAGGTTGCTTTTAAATTTGTTTGGGTAATTTTATAAATGTTTTTCTTCTAGTTAAAAAAAGTTTTTAGAGGAAGTTGGTTCAATTTGATTTTCTCTAAAAGTATTTTCGAAATAGGAAATACTTTTAAAAATTAATTTTTAAATAGATAATTATTTCAAAAGCTCTCCTATAGAAAATAAAAGTAAGAAAAAGTCACGTGAAACGAAGTCCAAACTTAAGTAAATCTCAAAATACTAAGGTCAATAGTTGAGGACTAGTCTCTAACAAACTTTTTATGTCCCAGCAACACGTGCATATCACGAGAGCATCGAATGATTTGACTCGGTCTACAAAAGAAATAAAAGTTATTGTAAGTGAAAAACTGCTCTAAAAAAGTAATTTTAATGTTTAAAAAAAATTAAAAGTAATTAATTAAAAGTAACTTTTTCTGACACATTTGACACGCAAACTCAAAATACAAAAACCTAAAACGCGGAGTGCAACTGGTGTGGTGTCAACGTGTGAGTTCATTCTTCTGGTTCAACTTTTTTCTCACGCGGTTTTCCACTTACTTCCCCACCATAGTCTTCCATAAACCCCCCACAGAATTCACATATATCCCCATGATTCTTACAGAGCTGCATAACAATCATACATTCACAAAAATACTTTAAAATCTGAAATTGTTGGGGGAAAAAAAAAGAAGAATCGCGATATAGAAAATGCTGAGATCGTGTTGTTTTAGATCATTGGAGAGATGTCTAGGAATTCGGAAGGATGAGTTGTTATGGCACATGGATTTGAAGCCACACGCATCTGGAGATTTTTCTATAGCTGTTGTGCAGGCTAATTCTAGCCTCGAAGACCAGAGCCAAGTCTACACGTCGCCATCAGCAATTTACATCGGCGTCTACGATGGACACGGAGGCCCTGAAGCCTCCCGTTTTATTAATCGCCACCTCTTCCCTTATTTACACAGTAATATTGCTATACACAATTCTCTGTTGCTCTGCTTTTTCGGGGTTATTTATGTGTGTGAATGGTCATTTCTTATTTTTATTGTCTATATACATAAGATGATGCTGTTTATCTGGAGATGCATGTGTAATTTTTAATTTTTTATTATTATATTAATTGTGAGTTTGAAGATTATGGATCGATGTATACATGTGACTCTTTAATTTAAAGTATTTTTGTGCTTCTCAAAGGTATGAATTATGGAAATTTATAAGGAAATTTTGAAAAGGGGTTTTAGTTTTTAATCTTAAACTTTTGAGATTTTGTGTCTTCTCATTTTTCTACTGACCCTTTATATTTGTTTCTACGACACAATTTTATTGGTTGAAGAAAACAGACAATTGAGTAACTGTTCAACGAATTGTATAGATCCGATGTATAAATTGGAAGTGATTGAGTTTTGACTTATACTTTAATGAACTATGCAAATCCTTATATGTTATTTTCTATATCTGAAATGTGCTTGACTATTTTCAGAATTTACCAAAGAACATGGAGGGTTATCCGTGGATGTAATAAAGAAGGCATTTAATGCTATAGAAGAGGATTTTACTCGACTAGTGAAGCAATCATTGCCTGTTAGACCACAGATTGTTTCAGTCGGATCATGTTGTCTAGTCGGTGCAATTTCAGACGGTGAACTGTACGTCGCGAATTTAGGAGACTCAAGAGCAGTGCTTGGCAGCAAAAGTTCTGTTGGGAAGAGGAATTCGGTGGTGGCAGAGCGATTGTCTACAGATCACAACGTGTCGTGCGAAAAGGTAAGGAGGGAGGTCGAAGCTCAACATCCTGATGACTCACTTATAGTTGTCAATTGTCGTGGAGTTTGGAGAATCAGGGGCATTATTCAGGTGATTATTTTCATTCTTCTGCTTTGGCTACTACTAACTAATTTGTCTGTTGTGTGATTTTGATTCAGTTCGAACTATTCCTGGGATCTAGATCAGTGACTTTGAACGGGATTTCTGACTTCCCTCAGTAGCTTTAATCGTCTTATACATTTCTAATTTTGATTGTTCCAAAGTATAAATGGCATGCCCCTGTCTTACTAAAGATGCTAGCACCAGTGTGTTTATGGTATTGGTATGTGTTATGTCACACATCGCGAACTTTCTCCTTAAGAATGAGTAGTTAGTCGTGCCTTGTTATGTGGAAATTACTGCACATGTTACTTAGATTATTTGCCTGCTCGGTCAATTGAAAAATTATTTGTTTCTTCTTTTACACATTTCGTTCTGTTTTTCTCCGAAAGGTGATTATCTGTTATTCTTTACACAATTTTAATCAGTCACGTTACCTCATTCATGTATATTCATTTTCTAAAGGGCTACATCTTTGCGCATCCAGGAATCACATGCTCTGCCTCTCTTCCCATTGTCTCATGCAGCCTTCTGCATATGAGATGTCCTTGAAGATATCGTAAGGCAAAGTGTTGTGATTCTGGTGAAATTTTAGCTCTCTGCCTCTGTTTTTGTCCATATTGATCTGGATGGCTATAAATTTGCATGCTGCTCATATAACTTTTAGAATCTAGTTTGTTTCTTTCCATAAAATATAGAGGTAAGCATGGTGTCGGTAGAATGGAGCATGTATCTGTTATTAACTATTTCTTTGTTCCCATCTTTTTGTAAGATGCTAAATTGTACATTTATAATTTCCAGGTGTCAAGATCTATTGGCGATGTCTATCTGAAAAAACCAGACTTTAACAGAGACCCCCTTTTCTTACAATTCGGAAATCCTGTTCCTTTGAGGAGACCACTGTTAACGGCTGAACCCTCAATTGTAACTCGGAAGCTGAGGCCACAAGATTTGTTCTTAATCTTTGCCTCAGATGGCCTCTGGGAACATCTTAGTGATGAAGCTGCAGTGGATATTGTATATAAATACCCAAGAGCTGTAAGTTTCTAGTACCCTCTACTTTTATATATATAATTACAGTATAGAAATTAACACGTGGATGCTTTCCCTCTGGCTTTAACCATATATTTCGCCTTTGTCTGGCAAAATCTATAAGTCATTTATAAACGGTTTCATTTTCATCTACACATTTCAATGGATTCACGAGTAATATCCACTTATTCACCACTCATTTTTATTTATTTATAAATTAAACCGTTTATAAATTCTTCCCAAACAGAGGCTCAGTTGTGACATTTGCTTTAAAGATCTAGGGATTTGGATTGCAAGGGTCTCTTATTATTTTCAGTTGCATCTAAATGATATGTTACTCCACTTATCGCTTGCTTTCATTATTACGATTCGTTTCTCGTTAAAATTAAAAACATGGTACAAGAATGAAAATTCATGTGCTGGATTAGTTAAAAAACAATGGCAAAGCATCGGTTTTACGTCATGAGATATAACATTGTTAATCTCGTTTAACTTTTGGTTGGTCATTTCTTGAAAGTTTTTGGTCGGATTACACAGAAAGCTTAGCTTGACTTGCTTGTTCTTTGTGCTGAATTTTTTTACAGGGTATAGCGAAGAGATTAGTCGGAGCTGCCATTCACGAGGCGGCAAAGAAGAGGGAGGTGAGATACAAGGACATTAGAAAGATTGAAAAGGGAGTTAGGCGCCATTTCCATGATGATATTACTGTGATTGTGATCTATCTTGACCATGATCATCATAAAAGCCCTAAACACAAGCAAGGGTCTGTTGGCATCATCAGCGCCCCTGTTGACATCTTCTCCTATAATTCAGATGAAGTCGAGGAAAATCCAGTTGACAAGATTTTCCCCAATGAAGAGTCTCGCCATATATTGGCAGTATCCTAAATTGAATTATCCCCGATATGGAATCTCAAAAATCGGTATTTTTGTTTGCAGGTTTCGTGTAAATATAAAATTATAGTTTGATGCTGAGATGAAAAGGCAAGGTTTTTCATGTATATTTTTACTAAAAAATAAACAATTATTTTGTTCTTTGAATGTTAATTTTACTTGGAGTTGAGCTAGAAGATTGCATTTGTGCTACTCGGCGTTGGATCTGTTTTTTCTGTGTCAAGTTTTGCACTCGTTTATGCTTAAGGTCATAGACCAGACATAGCATTTGCAGAGCATGTTTTTTTCTTCTCTATTTGCCTCAAGACATCATGCTACCATTTTACAAAGACAAACCATTCCTCCCGTTGGTTTCGAAGTATAAACTAGATATGAACCTTTCCAATAAAATATCATCCTCGAACAAAATTTTATTTTTAAATTTATTTGATCTATTTGTCTCTCAAACTTTATCGATGATTTGAATGAATTTCTTACTTAATGTAGAAGTTTGTAGCCGCACTTAAAAGCCCTGCATTCTTCCGTTATAAAATTTGAATTAAAATGATTTTTCTTTCTATTTTAGTATTATATTATTACATAAAAATAAGTCATATACCTGGTTTAAAATTTTTCTCTCATTAATCACCAGATTTTGGGAGATTTTCACAAAAAAGAAATTAATATACATTTTTTTTTCAATATTCATCTTTCCTTTTCACTTCTATAAACATTAGAGTTATGATTAAAATTTATTTTTTTATATTGATTGTATTAGTTTCTATATTTTTTTTCTCTCTCTTATTGTTTATTTCTATTTTCTATGAAAACATTGTGTTTGAATCTTATTATTTTGGAAAAATGTATTTTGAAACAGTAGATTGATGAAAAATGTGTGATTAAAAAAGAAGGAAAAATTATTGATGTAATGAAAAATATTATTTTATTGAAATTTTTTTGATTGAAAATGAGTAGAAGAATGAGATAAAAATTTTAATGTGGCTCAAACATTGACTAAATTATATATTTTTTCATTTATTTTTCTAAAAAATATCTATTTTTAATTAAATTATAAAATTTTATATAGACTAACTAGGTGCAAGTAACGTGCAATGCACGTTTGCTTAGTTTATATTTAATATTTTTGTTTAGTAATTAATTTGTTATTAATAAGGATGTAATTTTTTTTGGTTAATTAAGGGCGTGTCTGGGCGCGCTGCAAGGAGGAATGAAAATTGATTATGTTACAGTTTTTTTTTTCAAACCTACAACCATACAGTGAGAGAATTGGTACAAAAT